ACGACAGCTGCAGGACACTACAACGACAGTGCAGACACTACAACGACAGCTGTGGACACTACAACGACAGCTGCAGACATTACAACAGTTATAGACACTACAACGACAGCTGTGGACACTACAACGACAGCTGTGGACACTACAGCAACAGCTGTGGACACTACAACGACAGCTGCAGACACTACAACGACAGCTGTGGACACTACAACGACAGCTGCAGATACTACAACGACAACAACAGCTGTGGACACTACAACAACAGCTGTGGACACTACAACAACAGCTGTGGACACTACAACAACAGCTGTGGACACTACAACAACAGCTGTGGACACTACAACAACAGCTGTGGACACTACAACAACAGCTGTGGACACTACAACAACAGCTGTGGACACTACAACAACAGCTGCAGACACTACAACGACAGCTGTGGACGCTACAATGACAGCTGCAGACACTACAACAACAGCTGTGGACGCTACAATGACAGCTGCAGACACTACAACGACAGCTGCAGACACTACAACGACAGCTGTGGATACTACAACAACAGCTGTGGACGCTACAATGACAGCTGCAGACACTACAACGACAGCTGCAGACACTACAACGACAGCTGTGGACACTACAACAACAGCTGTGGACACTACAACGACAGCTGCGGACACTACAACGACAGCTGCAGACATTACAACAGTTATAGACACTACAACGACAGCTGCAGACACTACAACGACAGCTGCAGACACTACAACAACAGCTGCAGACATTACAACGACAGCTGCAGACACTACAACGACAGCTGCAGACACTACAACGACAGCTGTGGACACTACAACAACAGCTGTGGACACTACAACGACAGCTGCGGACACTACAACGACAGCTGCAGACATTACAACAGTTATAGACACTACAACGACAGCTGCAGACACTACAACGACAGCTGTGGGTACTACAACCGCTGCTGAAACTACAACTGTTGTGGACACTACAACAACAGCTGTAGACACAACAAATGGTATGGACAATACAACAATAGCTACGGACACTACAACTGTTGCGGACAATACAACAATAGTTACGGACACTGTGGGCAATACAACAACTCCAGACACTACAACTGTTGTGGGCAATACAACAATAGCTACGGACACTACAACTGTTGTGGGCAATACAACAATAGCTACGGAGACTACAACTGTTGTGGACAATACAACAATAGCTACGGGCACTACAACTGTTGTGGGCAATACAACAATAGCTACGGAGACTACAACTGTTGTGGACAATACAACAATAGCTACGGAGACTACAACTGTTGTGGGCAATACAACAATAGCTACGGAGACTACAACTGTTGTGGACAATACAACAATAGCTACGGACACTACAACTGTTGTGGGCAATACAACAACTCCATACACTACAACTGTTGTGGACAATACAACAATAGCTACGGACACTACAACTGTTGTGGACAATACAACAATAGCTACGGACACTACAACTGTTGTGGACAATACAACAATAGCTACGGACACTACAACTGTTGTGGACAATACAACAATAGCTACGGACACTACAACTGTTGTGGACAATACAACAATAGTTACGGACACTACAACTGTCGTGGACAATACAACAATAATTACGGACACTACAACTGTTGTGGACAATACAACAACTCCATACACTACAACGACTATCGGTACAATTTTCACTGAGGGCACTGCAACCACATACAGAACGACTTTCACTGAGGGCACTGCTTTCACTACAACCACCTCCACAACGACTACTGAAGCAACGACCACTACAAGGAAGCCCTGTAGGAAAGGTACAGTTTATAGTTGTCTACGCCTAAGTGAGGCCACTTTCAGAAAAGGGAGTCTGGCAACTAAGGCCAGTCTCTTTTTTCCTTCTTTCTTACTTGCTCTTTTAGTCAGCTGATAGTTCATACATATGCTTACACGTGCTTTGTCATTTTAAGGCGTTTTAATCATATCTGTTTCCGTCAATATCACTTTCTCGAAACAAACTCAGCAAATCGGAATATTCCAAAGATTGCGGTGAGTTTAATTTTCACTTTTTGCTTAAACCGGAGGGGCTATGTCTTTATTCTGTCCTCTTCCCATGATATTTTTTGTTGGTCTTTAGTATACGGTATTTACTACAGCCTATATTACTGTTTTTCTCTTTTCCTTTCTTACGTTCTCTCTTTCTTCTAATTCTTATTTTTCTTTTATGTTTTATTTTATGATAATAATTATTATTTATTTTATTAATTATTATTATTATTTTTATTATTATTATTTTGGTATGAGTTATCCAGTACTAATCAGCAAACTTCCTTTCTAGGCTGCAAGAGAGGACGCAGACTGTTACTTCAGATCATGCAAAAAGCATCACTCGGTTGTGATAAACCGTAAAACACATCAAGAAGATGTGAATCAGGAGCTCTCTAAATCTAAAGAGATGATGTTCTCCAAATAAAGAAAATTATAAGAATTATTAGTTTTACTTTATTGCTTTTGTCAGCATTTAAGAATTGCAAATATTCATATCTAAAACACACCTAACAAACTGAAACGTTGAATAAGGCAAATATATCATATAACTGCAGGATATAAGACATTGAATACATTTTGAAATGTTGAAATATTTTGAGATTTCCCCACGAAGTTTTAAAATATAGTGAAACAACTTTGCCTGCTAATATAATTTTTGTAAACATCAGTATACACATGAAAAAAAATGTCACTGTGAAGTGAAGTCTACATTACATATGGGACGGATGAGCTCTCCAAATTTTATATTTCATATATAATACTTATAGAATCTTAATATATATGTGTCACATGCAAACACACACACACACACACACACACACACACACACACACACACACATACATCATCATCATCAAGGGGCTAACGCCGACGGGGTTACATAGCCGCATTCACCCTTCGCTTCCAGCCACGAGGGTCACTCATGGTGAGCCTCCAGGCCCATCTCCAACTCCTCGTGGCATGTCTCGTCGAGCTGTCCAAATCATGACCTCCTCCACAGGGAAATGAGCTAGGTGCCCATATAGCCTGATTTGGCGATCCCGGATTATGCAAGTAACAGGTCCCATACCAATCTCACAGTGTAGCCGTCGGTTGGACACATGGTCCAGCCAACTGTACCCCATGATTCAGTGAAGAGACTTGTTACAAAAGGCATCAAGATAAGACTCCAAGGCGCTAGATATCATCCAGGTTTCACTTGCATAGCGTAAAACTGGCAGTATCAAGACCTTGAAGACATGTAGCTTGGCCCTTTTATAATGAGACTGATATCTCCAAATACTCTTGTTGATCGAGTTCAACCAAGCTGCCTGCTGACTTCTTGGTCTGACAGCCCAGAGATTTGGACTACACTACCAAGGTATGCAAAGCTCTCTATGACTTCAACATCCTCACCAAAAGTGTGGATTGACAGAATGGGTTGCCCTAACAGGCCCCCAAAGTCCTGAATCTTGGTTTTGGTCCAGGAAACCTCTAGGCCCAAGGGCTTTGCCTCATTGCTAAATGCATCAAGAGCCGCCACCAGTGACCCCAGTGTTGCTCCACATTGACTGGGTGGTAGCTCTGCCCATTATCCAGTCCATGAAGGTGTTGAAAAGGACACAGCCTTGCCTCACTCCCAAATTAACAAGGAAGAAGCACAACAGGACCCCACCACATTCTACAACACTTTCAATATCAGTATATTTACTTGCTATTAGGCCAATAATCCGGTTTGAAATTTCCCTAGGTCTCAGAATCTTGAGATCGATGTAGGCTGCAAGCAACCCACAACCGAACTCACGACGGCGTTCCACAGTTAATTGAAGCACTAAGATACAGTCTATTGTGGAATTGCCAGTAGTGAATTCAGACTGCACCAGTCTCTGGTGCCATTGTAGGTGGTCATGGATTCCTTATAGAAGAATGTGGGCAAAAACCTTGCCTGGTATACTGAGCAGTGTAATACCATGGTAGTTGCTAAAGTCCCAACAATCCCCTTTCCCTTCAAGAGAGGGATGACGACGCCCCTCAACAGTTCAGGGGGAATGGTATCAGACTGCCAGATGGCAGTCAAGGCTGCATGCACGCCCTGTGCCATAGGTTCACCCTCAGCCATTAGCAGTTCAGCAGGGACATCACATATGCCTGTGGCTGGTTCACAATTCAGCTTGGATATCACCATCCTAACATCAGTTAGAACACTTGACAAGTGTTCTCCCATAAAACTCACCGATGAAATTGTGACACTGTATCGCTCAATCCTTTTGCGTATGGTTCGCCTTACTACTTTTACGACCTGGTTATCAACCATGGAGTATGACACTGACAATCCAGAAAACCATTTGCCACTTGGGGCCATATATTTTGGCACAAATTTCACTTTATTTGTTGGAGAGGCTACCATAGACAGAACAATAGTGAATTGGGTAAAGGAACGGTGTAGAAAAAAAATTAATGGAGCTGCTAAGAGAGATGAGGAAGAGGCTACCAACAAATATGGAACAACTTCAGTTGCTCAGTAGTTTGTCTCCATCAATTGTTCTAGGCCAAGCAAAACCAAAATTGCAAGACTTGTCCTTCCTTTCACTATATGATGGAAACATAGAAGAATATAAAAGAAGAATAAAATTTCTTTCAGTAGACTGGATTATTGAGAAAATAATAGTTTGCCAAATACTATCTGTTGTTGAGCATTTACTATCAATTAACATTTGTTAGAACTAACCTGAATGACATTAGTTTCCACAAGACCAATTGAAATGATATTAATAAATGAGCTTCAATAATCTTATAATAAATGCAATGCTTCCTGATTTTAGTTGATTTCTGACCTCGGTTTGGCTTTCTTATGATGCTTTGTCTTGCAACACTGAATGGGAATTCGACTTGAACTCAGCCATAAAGGACAAAACATTAATTCAACAGTTACTAACAGAGTAGGAA